TATATATATATATATATATATATATATATATATATATATATATATATATATATATATATATACGCAGTAAGCCTGCTTGGCAATAGACCAAATAGCTGCGCTCAATGCTGAGCCTAGGTTGCACGTACCCCTGGCGAAGCCGGCATTCAAGCGCGCGCAAAGCCATCCCTCGAAGTCCACAGTAATTATACGGTGACCTGTTGAGACAAAAAAAAAAACAAACGAAAATAAGTTAGGCAAAAGGAAGGGATAAATACCTCTTTTCAGAGGGGGAGACACGGGTTATGTCAGGGGTTACAGAAATTGGAGAAAAAACAAAAATATTTCGAGGCACTTCGGTGGTGTATAGTTCGCAGTTGATGAATGTGTAATGTATGCGAGGTGTACTGACGAATAGCATGGAGTTATGAATGCATATTACAGAACGTATGCAAATATGCACAATACAATACAAATGCAATAGATACGCAGCGTATGCTCCCTCCATGTAAAGTGTATTCAGGACTTCCTTACCTGCTTCTAAGTGATCAACAAGTCGTTCTGCAACTTCTTCTGGTTGTTTTATTTTGGACGTTTCCTCGAGGATTTCAGTAAGCTGAGCACAGCAACATATATATTTTCGAGGCATTATGCAATTCAACTGAAACCACAAAGCGTAATATATACCAACGCGGCATACGCTACACGGTATTCACTGCACTACTTATTTGCATCTGTGTCTGTGTGCTTCTGCATAGCAACAAGGCCACGATAATTTAAAGAAAACTGATCACTGAGTTGATGGCCTTAAGTGGCTCTGTGTGCTGAGGGCTTAGGAGTGCTGGTTGTGTTTGGTGTTCTTAGCGCATACTCTGTGGCGAACTTGTTTTTCCCTTTGGTATCCGGGTGTATTGACACTGGGCAGGAAGGCATTAGCAACGAGAATATCCATGCCTGCCACTTCTTGATTGATTACTTCTGCAAATGCTATGAGTGCGGACTTGGTGGCGCTGTATGTAGAAAATCCATATATTGGAACGAATGAAGCGAGGCTGTTAGTGAAGCAAATAGCGCCAAACTGTCGCTTCATCATGCTGGGGAGGATGTGTTTGACTTGCAGGAAGGGCGTGCTGATGTTCATTGCTATTGTTTTTTGTATATTGCTGTTCGCCATAGCACAGAAAGGACGAGGGTCTACGTCCGCTGCGTTGCAGAAAAATACTTCTATAGGCGCCCCCTCTTCTTTCTCTTTTTCTTCAGAGCGGCTGCAGGCCGCTGAGTCCTTCGTCAAGCCCTAAAGTGTACGCAACACAAAAACAGTTGCATAGATGCATTCGAAAACCAAAACAAAGAAAGGGACGAGAGCACAGAAGGAGCAAGAGTTAACAACGGCACAGACACTGCAGCCACCCCTGTAAATAATTCATGAATGGTGGTATTACCTTTAAGGCAACAGCGCGATCAAGGCATTCAATGGCGGCTGTTGGGTCCGCCAAATCTGCTGATACGGTCTGCACGGTGACGGAAACTCCGAGTTTGTTCGCGAGTTGTATGCAGTTGTTTTGTGCTTCTTGAAGGGCATCAGCATCACGGGCAACCAGTGTAATCAGCTTTGCCCTTTTCTTTACTGCCTGAGTAGCTATGGCGTATCCAATACCCTTTGAGCCCCCTGTTACTAGAACATGTCTACCCTCGAGTGAAAAGGGAAACATAGCATCTGGTCGTTTGGTGTTTGAGAGGCGTGCAGAACGGCTAAGAACCAACTGAGCCACGTAGAGAAGAACTATGCTTCCCATAACAACAAAATAAAGTGCGATAATCCCGAATACCCCCACTGCATAGGCAATTACGGGAAAAAAGAAAAGCAGAATACACATGCACACCAGCCCCTCCATTTTTCCTCCCCTTCCAGCGGACCAAGGAAGCTTGTAAACCATTTGCGTTACTAATCAAAATTTGGTCATAGGTAAGTCGACAGACAAATACACAGAGAGTACACCCTCTCTGATCTGGGGGCTGCGGGCTGCGAAGAGAGCAACCGGGGCGGGCGGGCGGGCGGAAGGCAGTTCAGTTGTAAGCAATTCAGCTGGAAAATAACTGGAAAAAATGAAAAAGAAGAATAATTTTTGCAACTCAATGTATAAATGAACAGAAGGACTTATGTAGCCGCTTGCCCCTCTCTAGACACGAGGCAGTTGTTAGTGAGGGGTTTATATAAATAATGGGATGTGGTGTTTGCTCTCAGGCGAAAAGGGGTTTTTTGACAGCTAAGTTAAGCTGCTAAATAAAGAAGTTTCGCTAGAAAGATATTGTATGCTTTTTAACTTCTAGGATGTAGCATCATGCTGCTGCCTTCTGGCATCTGCTATATGCGCATTGCTCAGGGCTTGGTCAGTCGGCCGCAGTGCATATATATACAACATGTATACACTATAACGTTTATATAGTATACTCGAGAAAACAAATTCAAGATAATAGAATTGATGGTTTTCCCTTTCAAATGATTTATTGCAGCTTCCCCCAAGGTAGGTGGTTCTTGCAATCCATCGTTGGTAGTGGGTGATGTTGCGGCTGCGTTGTCTCCCGCCCTTGCTGTAGATGTCGCTGTCCTGTTTCCTCGTGTATCTCTCCTTTTGATGACATTTGGTTTTATTTTATTATTCTTTAGTCGTGTCATGGTTTTATACGATTGTGTTTATTCACTCTTCTGCTCTTCTCACCCATCTGGGGCGAGTGACCTCGTTTGGTGCAGGGACCACCTGTATGCAACGGTCGTCAGTGCCATTTAAATGTGCGCTTCCGTAAAAAAAAAGAGATTATGCTGTAAATTGAAGCTTATTTCTCAATCTGTAAGGCGCTATTGGGCTGCAACGACTAGGCTGGCCTGCCCCTAACCCCGTTCTCTGTCTGTACGTTGCCGTTACCAGAGAAAGGGGCGTAGGGTTTACAGTTTACTCCGCTAGGTGGCTGCACTTCTTACTGATGATTCTCCATCTGCAAGCGAAGTGGCGCTCCCGTATTGTACTAGGGGGGCCTCGGTATTCGGCTCAGAAGGGTCCTGTAAGCAGCCCATGGGCTGCGCAGCGTCAGCTGTCTGAAGTTCATATAGGTGTTTCTAGTGGTACGCAGGCTGAAATCTTCGGGCCAACTGTGTGCTTTACAATTGTTGTTGTTGTTCCCGTATCTCTACAGTGTTGGCGCATGCGAAAACGGGGTATCGGTTGTGCTTGCAGGTTTGGTTACCCGTTCAACGCGCATCCCAGCACGGTGTGCCGTAGCCCATGGCAGGCCGCCTCCTCTCCGCGCCAGCATCCGGCCCTTATACCGCTGTGTGCAGGATACATGGACACTGGGAAGGGATGTCAGATACCTTTGGGGAACTCTTATGTTTCAGAATTTTGAGTGCGTTGCAGCTCATGTCGCCCCTTTGCCAATAGTGAACACTCTCGTTTCACCAGTCTGCAATGTATGCATGGTTGAAACGGGCACGCGAGTGCTGCGAATCCAACAATCACAGTCGTACTGCGGGGTGTACAACACTGATTCTTCGTGGAGGTGCTTCGGCTGAAGAAACGAAGCAATTTCAATGCAGACTCAGAATCTGTTTCCGAGCCTGTAAGGTGTCAGTTGTCCCTCATTAACTTGTTTATCAAAGACGTGAAATACTAAGTATGGAGGCAACAAGCGTAATGATGAAAAACAATGTCAACTTCTGCGTCGCAACGGGTGAGCTGGCATTTTCCGTGAAACGTTGAACCATCGAAATATTCGACTCTGCGTAAAGGGAACTCCCTTTTTGGCTGCCGAATCGCACATATCAAACTAGAAGTTATTTCTTGTACTTGCATACAATACTACATATATATATACATATATATATATATATATATGTATATATATATATATATATATATATATATATATATATATATATATATATATATATATATATATATATCGTGCAAACACAGGCCCCAGGCATCGGGCTAACACAGAACTGAAGAATTCATAGGAAGAGGTAGACGTTAAAATGAATAGAAGTGGTCCGTCAATAAAGAGCACAGCACAGCAAACAGTTGCTCATGGCTGCCTCATTGCGTCAAGAAACGAAAAAACGCAAAATACAGAAGTCCCTCCGCAGCTGCACTGGCAGCAGAGTGCATTTTCTTCCCTCAAACAAAATTCGGTGGCTCTCCCTGAGTGGCAAGGGGCTGCAGCAGTAGTCCCGCAACACTGCCAAAGCGTCAATAGCAGCTGCACTGCGTCGGCACCACAGCTAGCAGGCCAGCTACGGGCCAGACAGAAAACACGAGAGGCTTTCAAATATCGAGGCCCTTCATTGTTGCATACACCCGAGGCATTTCAAACAAAGCCATCTCCTGCGACAAGCATGCCAACAAAAAACGTTGAAACGGGGACAAGCATAGTGTCGTAGGAACGTGGGCGCTTCGCTAGCTAGCTGTCTGCACGCCAGAGCCACTTGAAAGAGACCAAGCTAAAGTAGCAGCACAACCAACACCTTACGAAACCTCTCTCACTTACATTGTGCAGCGAGAGGCGGGCGTTCGTGGCACCTGCAACGATGAGGGCCGCCTCAACTCTCTGTCTCTCTACATTGCACCCGAAAAGCCCTAATCGTTTCAGCTGCTTTCCTGCACCAGCCAATTGCAGCACATCACAGCCACTAACGACAAAAAATGAGAATAAAAAGGCACAAAGGCAACATGCGGCTAGCTAGCTACCGAAAGGACTAAATTCCTACGACAGGAACAGCCGCTGCCAGGTAGCTAGGCAGGTGGCCATGCGAAGTAAGCTCAAAGGCAGCAGCATACAACTAGTGAAGACAGCACACAAGAAGCTCGATAATTCCATTCTGTCAGCAGCCAACACCAGCTGCCACTGCACAGAGAATCCGTGCGCAGCCAGAAGCACTGTCTACACTGCACTTGGGGAACACGCAAAACCCGCGCCACCTGCAGCAGAAGCTGCTGCTGCAGCTGCAGCGCCATGCAGCATCACTACTGTATCAACTAAGTCTGGGGTATCACCTGAAGCAACAATGAAATGCGCGTCGCAGAAGGCTGAGGTGACTCTCCAGCAATGCGAGACGTCAAGAAAACGAAGGAGGGGAAGCTCAGCCAGCAGATGCGCCAATAGAACATCATCTATGGCCCTGCAGCAGCAGTGCGAGCAGCACATAGAAAGGGCAGGAGAACTGAGCACCAGACACAAGGAACCAGTGTGAATGCCAGCAGTCTTACTGAAGCAGTAATAGCCTGAATAATAAATAATGTAATACACGTACGCTGTGTGACTGAGCTTGAGGCGGGAAATAGAGGGTAGAGAAAATGCAAGACGAAAAAGACAGTCCCGAGAGACTGGACCCGTGCACGAGAGATCCAACATTTGCAGCTTGGGGCAGCCGTCCACAACTGCTGAAACAGTTGTTGTCGTCACTGCGGTGTCTGTACACCCAGGCATATCAGCAGAACCCACATGAATAACAACACACTGATAGCGACACGTTTGCCACATGCAGGTGCAACGCCCACCATACTGTTGAACTGCATCTATGTCGCACCTGCTAGGACAAGCACTTGTAGGTTGTGCAGCTCAGCGAAGACATGAGCCGAGGAGTCATCGATTGCCGTGCCCCGTAGATCGAGAAACTCCTGCAAAAGCCAACACAAACACCTGGGGTATACAGTTAGCCGCACGGTAGCTGCACCTGTACATAGATGCAGCAGCAGCAGATCATCAGACACCCCATGAAACCCTAAGCCTAAAAGTAAAACCTTACAAGTGTTGCCTTTGCGTTGGCCAGTACAGTGAAGTCTTTCATTTCGCTGCAACGCGCTAGCGACAGAAATTTGATGGGGGCTATGCATCCCTCTTCTGCCTGATCCGGAGGACGTTGCTGTGTCTGTCCTTGTCCTTGTTGCTGCTGATGTTGCTGCTTCTGCTGCTGCTTCTGCTGCTGCTGCTCTTGTCGCTGCGGTGTCAAGAGGGCCTTGAGAGCGCGACAGGTCAGCCGGCAGCATCCACGCGCACCGGCCGTCAGTCCCAAGGCCACTCTCTCAAGCCGCGGCAGAAACCCCAAAGTTAAAAGAGCTTCATCTGTCAATGAGAAGCAATCACGAAGATCAACGCACCGAAGGTCGCGCAGTCTGCAGCAACAGAAAAAGATGCAGCAGCAGCAGAAAAGCGTGCAGCAGCGTAAAAAGATATACCGCAGTGAAACGAGAAAACGACCGGGTTTCTAGCTGCTGTAGCAGCAGCAAGTGCAGCAGCCCATAGGGATTTCACAGCAAGACCAGCACATCAGCTGACCTCAGAAGAAGAGTCCTGAGGCTCTTGTCACTCATTTTGTTGCACCGACGCATCACCAATACCTGCAGCTTCTGAGGCAGCGCGCTGCTACGAGCGCGGGAGAGACGCTCCATTTGGGAGGCGCTTAAGCCCCCTCCTGCTGTTATCTCCAGCAGCCGCAGACTTGGCGAGCTGCAGCAGATGCAGGCAGCAGCGGCACACTCAGCGGTCAACACAATCATTTCCTCACAACAGAACGAAACGCTTGGAGGGAGAGCATAACTAGGGGCTTTACTCATTCAGGTTCAGGGCCTATGGTCTAGGGTTTAGTCCCCGCAATAAGAAACTGCAATGTTTTTCTGGGGGTTAGGGTTTAGGGTTTAGGGTTTTCAGCTAACCTCATTATCGCCCGTATGAGGGCCTCTGCAGAGGAGGCCGTTGAGGCGTCCCCAGAGAAACGCAACACCCGGCGCTGGCGACGTATAAGTGCAGCAAACCGGCGGCACGCTGCAGCAGCAACAGCAACAGCATTGGTAGCATGCCGTAGCTGCATCGGCTCGCCCCCAAACCCATATACGTGCTGCAGGGAGTAGCTGCAGAAGTAGCAGCAGCAGCAGCAACAGCCGATGCACCGCCGCACAGGCCTCATAGCCCAACGGTAGCAGAAGGGGTGGCAGCAGCAAAAGCAGCAACAGCAGCAACAGGAGCAGCAGCACAACTGCATCGAAGACTTACTCATTGAAATCTCCCTCCCACCGAAGTCAAGTACTTGCAACACCAAAGGATCAGGCAGCTCTGCCCATGGCCGCGTTTGACGCGCAGCAGCAGTACGACTAGAACCAGCAGAAGATGCAGCAGCAGCAGCAGCAGCAGCAGCAGGCGCCGGCTTTGGATCTGCAACAGAGTGAGCGTTCTTCCTTCCACTAGTGCCCCCGACAGCCACTTCTGGAGTACCATCTGAACGGGAGGCGTTTCTTGCTGCAGCCGTTGGTGCTGCTGGTGCTGCTGTTGAGGCCGCCGCTGCAGCTCTGCTGCTCAATGTGCGTGTTTGCTGAAGGGCAGCAGCAGCAGTGGTGTATTTCAGTCCCATCCATCCGTAGTCTGTTGACGCGAGAGGCTTGCTGTTACTGCTGCTGCCTCGAGCAGGAGCAACAGCAGCAGCATGGTGAGATGTCGACGATGCCGTGCAGCGCAGTTTGCTGCTGAGGCTGGTGGAGCCGCAGGATCTGAGTGGGCGCTTAAGCCGCCAACATACAGCACCGCCAGCATCTCCTGATCCCAGCGGTGTTGTTTCTGGGCCTCGTTCAGATGTATTCGCTGCTGAAGGGGCACGCTTCGGTGTTGCATGCGCTGCTGCATCTTCATTTGCTGCTATGGTTGAGTCTGCATCTGCTGCTGCTGCTGCAGCATATGCTGTGGGCGCTCCTGCATCTCTGCATGATGCTGGGAAGACACGGGTGGAGTTGCTTGGGTCGCCTGGTGCTGGAGGCCCCAAGGGTTGCCGTTTCTCCGTTCTAAGCTGTCCTCCCTTCTGATCCCCGCTGCAGACTGAGGGTTCTTTAAGGCCGAAGAAGCGCCTCAGGGCCTCAGCCGAAATGGGGGGCCCTTTGCTGCTGGAGTTGCCTCTGCTAGCCGATCCCCCGGTGAGCAGTGCCCGCTTGCTGCGTTGCTGCAGTGAGGAGCTGCAACTTGAAACAGGCACACCTCCAATTGTGGCAGATACTGCAGGTGCTGAAGCGTCTACTGGGGCCTCCTGCGATGGCACAGACGATGCTTCTGCTGCTGCTGCTGCCCCTCCACACGGGGCGCTCCATTGCATGATTGCACTTGCAGTGTACGTACACCCAAATCAGCGCAGTGCGAATGAGAAGAGCAGCGCGGCAGAAGTAGAAGGAATGGAATTGCTGTGAATTTCCTCTCGAGGGAGAGGACTCCTGTCTGGTAGCTGTTCCTGCTCCCGCTGCCGAAACCGCTGCCGATGGCAATACCGTTTGTTACCGGCTTTGCTTCTACTGCCCCTATAAGCAACCAAATATTAAATTAAACGGGGTAAGAGCGAACATTTAAGTGAAGAGAAGTAGTAGGGGTGAAGCACTCTGGCAACCGATAGTCGGGGCTGAACAGACCACGGGGCCCTCCCTCCCTACGATCAGGCAAGGGGCCCCCTGTAGTAGCGGGGGGTTCAGAAGCTGACTATAGGTTTATGGAGGCCCACCTGCAAGTGACTTCGCCAATATAGTTATTCTTATTCACCAGCAGCTAAGTTCGATTATCTTCCAGTGCGTGTGGCTAGAAGAGGTGGGCGGGATGCTGTCCCTGTCCCCATAGAGTAGAGTGGTCTGCCTGCAGTTAGCACAGGAGCACTCACTCGGCCGTGGTAGTTTGCCTGCAAGTAAATGCAAACGGTGTATCTGCGCATACAGAGGTAACGCATGCAGTAAAGGCAGCTTTGTTGAGGTTTCCCTGTGTGCACACGCGAGGCTGGCGTGCATCGCCAGCTGCGGCAAGTTGCACTGCAACTGCAGTTAGTCTGCATCCTTCCCCGCCACCCCAGGCCCTGAGCTGAGCGCTCAGGATGCCCGGGGGCAGGGGAGGGAGGTCAGCGGCAGTTGGTGTACCCAGCATGCCCAGCTGCTTCTTGAGGGCGCATATATTCAGTATTTTGACTATGTTGCAGCTGATAACGGTCTCTGGCTACGATTGAGGACTCTCATAACTCCATGCTAGAAGAGAGCTACGGGTTGAGTAAATTACTGAGTCGCACGCTCTATTACCTTGCTCAGTTGGGTCCAACTTTACTATGTTGAAGGGCAGTATCTGCCGACAGTAGTGAATCTATTAGTAGGAGCGCCACAGCGCTTTCCCCATACAGTCAACGAAGAGTGGCAATGTCTGCATATATTTTCCTCATTCGTCAAGAAGCAGCAAATACCCATCAGGGTCATATGGTAAATATCATTCGTAACCAAGTGAGAAATAATAACAAATGTAGTTCGCAAGATAACCTTAGTGAAGCAGAGTTAGCTATTAAACGAGGAAGATAGCATATAGAGGGACAAGCAGCAGTGCAACTGTCCCCAGCAGGGGGTCCGAGCCAAGCCAGCTACTACGGCGGCTGGAAAAGCAACACACATAGAGAACGATTTCGACTATGAACATCTGGAGCCACGGCACAGCATGATTCCGTTCATCGGCTAACATACTTTTCCGCTATCTGCGAAACAAACGCAGCAGTGTTGCTATCCCAGCTTGATTCGCTATGAAGACAGGGACATCCACTGCAGTGCTGGTGGGTAGAATGTTGGATATAGAGTACACCAGTTGAGCGGAAGTCCGTTAAAGCGGATTACCACGCAGCACCCATCAGAGGGAGCACACCGCAAAGGGAGTGCAGAGTGCAACCAATACACTGGCATCTCAGGGATAGTTGACTGGGGGGCGTGTCCAGCGGTCTAGAGCACCAATACCCCCAGTCAGAGCATTTTTCCTTATATTTTCAGACATCTATTCTATCGGTAACTATTCTCCAACCAATACATAGTAGAGTTTCAGGCTTCTTGCTTCCGTATCGCATCGTAGCACGCCCTCTTCTGTCCCTGTATAATGACCGTAGCTGGAATCCTAATTGATCCGTCTAAGTTCCGCTTTGTAGGAACTGTCACCTATATGAAACAAGACAAACAATCGTTTGATAAGTGGTCCCGTGTATGGTATCATACTCTGCCACTAGGCATGCAAGAGCCATGTTAACACTACTGTAATGCGTGCTTTTCGGCATTTTTCAAGGACAAGAGCGAGCCGCAATGAGGCCAAAGACTTGAAGGAAGAGTTTCCCCTGAAGCAGCTAGCTTCTTCCCCCGTATCCAGGCGTCCTGGGCGTCAGCTTAGGGCCTGGGGTTGCTGGAGAGTAGGCCACCTAACAGGAGTTGCAGCGCACCCCGCGGCAGCTGGCAGTGCACGCCAGCAACACATGCGAGCCTAAGGAAACTTCGACGAAGCTCTCTTCACTGCATGTTTTATCTCTGTAGAGACATATGGATTATTTGTGACTGCTTGTAGGCAGCCTATCAAGGCCAAGTGAATGATCCTACGTTAACTACGGGCAGACCATGCTACAACTACACCTATTCCTGTCCCATTTCCCCTTCTTCCAGCCATACCCAGAGCAAGATCATCAAGCTCAGCAGTTAGTGAACGAGAACAACTATATTTCCCCAGTTACTGGCACAGACAGTGCGCATCATCTGATAGTAAGCCGCGCACTACTCCCTGTGCTAGAGAGCCGGCACACTAGTAACGCTTTCTCCCCTCTTGCGGGCAGCCGACACGGCGCAAGAACCGAATATTGGAGAATTGCAATTTATTTAATATGTTGTTCCAGTAGAATTTCACTTCTTGAAATGGAGCGTATTGCATTTAATTGCGGTTTTACCTCCATTTCAACTCAGCCCCACCATGAACCACCCACCAGCTGAGGCGTAACACGTCAACCACCACCGGTCAGCCCCATGTAGCCGAATCCCTTTCTAGGATAGGGAAGGGCTAAAATCCGTTTAATTCCACTTAATTTAGTCCAAATTGTACCCTTCAGAACACTGAGTCAACACTTACACTGCTAACATTTCGTCCCCTCAGGGGGAATGCCACCCCTGCAGTCTCTTGGATAGTAGTCGTCTATTTGCGTCGTTATCTCGCGATGCATTCGTAATTATTAGGCTTCTTCTTGGCGAGAGTCAGCAGCCTGTCCTTGTATAGAGGAGAGAGCGATTAATCTGCCCCTCAGCCTCCCGCGTTCCCTCCTTTGTCTTCGAAACCTTGTCGTCTCTCTCTATACAACTCGGCACGCCAAATCATGAAGCAGGAAGGAGAGCCAGGGCCACTCCTGGCTTGGCGCAGCGTTGGAGTTGAAGGTTTCTCCCCCAAGGGCATCTCTGCTGTGGTCCGCTTCCCGGCTCAGGGGTCCTCAGACACAGCAAAACGGCCCCTGTTATCAGATTTCCTTACTTACAATGGAACTGCAACGATCCTCGCTCACCGGCAGTTGCCATCTGAGGCAGAACCAGGAGCAAAAACTGTGGCGGCAAAGGGAGATGTTGAGAGCTGCAAAGTGTGCATCACAGCAGCATCAGCAGCTGACAGCGGTGTAACCGCCTTGGCCTCAGCAGAGGCTGAGGCAGCCGGCGCGCCTTTACAACTGTTCGTCGGTTTGACGAATGGTCAGCTGTGGCAAACAGAAATGAAACAGCAGCAGGACCACCACAACAACGAGCCGGGTGTAGAAACGCAACTTCCTCGTAAACTCGCCGTCGCCTCGAAGCAGCTGTTGTGCTGCCGGATGGCTGAGCCAGTCGACATGGTTTGCTGCTACGTCCAAGGAGAAGGCGTATCAGCATCTTCTGGGGCTCAGGAGCCGCAGAAAAGCAACACTAAATACACTTTAATGCTAATTGCATTGTACAGCGATGGCGTTGCCGTTGTCTCGTGGCCTGAAGCTGGCCAAACGACGGAACTCCCGTGAGTCGTTCTCCCTCTCCCCCACTGCGGTGTAAACCAAAGGAAAGGTTTTTTCTGCTGCTCGTGTTGCTGTTGTTTCCGCCAAAGCATACCTCATATAACGCAACAACTTGTTGAGGTGTCGATCTCTTTGCAGTGCTGTGGACGGCGGCTGTCGTATCACGTTGTCCCCCCAAGGGGATCGTCTTGCCATAAGCACCCGAAAGAGGCGTTTAGTTCTGATGGAACGAAAGGGAAAAGAGTTTACTATTATGAAGGACTTTTCACCTCTCAGACTCACTGGCCCAACGGACCAGCCAGCTCAACCAACATGGTGCGTCAACGTTCATTTTGATTGTATGTAACCGCGATTTGTTATTGCCTTCATTTCTATTTTTTCTAAGTTACTTTCCGTTTGTTTTTGCTTGCGTACAGGGTAGGGGAGGATAAGCTGCTGCTGCCAGGGGCGTCGCAGCTGCGGAGCTCATGCAAGGCAAATGCGTGGGAAGAGGCAAAGGAGGCGCCAGCTCTGACAGAGGCTGACACCCCCTCCCATTTGGTTTTCCTACAGCACTGTGGCTCTACTGTTGGAATTAAAGTGCTGGACGGCGCAGTAGATGCTAATGGAGAGGCACTCGTTTGCGGTGTAGCGACATCTGGGGCAATATGCATTTGGAGGATGCAGCAAAAAGAACCACTTGTGACGATACGAAGTAAATGACCAACTTTCGATTAGATTTCCGCTGCCCTGTGTTTGCCCTTCCTTTCTTGATCTATCATTTTGTCTGCCGCACAATAAATGTATTATATATATATATATATATATATATATATATATATATATATATATATATATATATATATACATATATATATGTGCGTGTGTGCGTTTGTGACATATATTTATTGTGCGCCTATACTGTCGATACTTACCGTTTGTGTGCAGTTGGTAGGGATGCTCAGCTTAGGGGTATTTACTGCCTGGCCTCAAACTCCCCCCTTGCCCCTTTGTTGCTGCTGCGGAACGACGGTCATTTGGGCATTCTAAATCTGTGCTCCGAGGCTGTGCGGAGTGCCATTGAGAGGTCAGCAGCTGCAGCAGCAGCTGCAGCAGAAGCTGCTGCTGCCGCTACACCTAGGCGCGCAGACGAACACAAATCAAAGTCGAAAAAGACTCACAAATCGCAGAAACCTGGGGTGGAAAATACAGAGGCTGATGACACCAAAAGTAAGCAAACGTAGTGAAAGGTCACCAACTAATTAAATGAAGTGCGATGCAGATGTTTCTAGTATTGCATGTGCGCGCGTGGTGCTCTTTTTAATGTGAAAACTATAAGCAGATTATAACCAAGAAACGTTGTATATGACAGTACGACAGCATGGGTTTCGAAATCTAAGGGAGGTACTGTTGTGCCACAGCAGTTGCCGTTGGCTATGAGGACGTACATTTGTCTCTCTACTTGGGGGAAATAAAGGCAGAAAGCAGCATTCGTCCGTTTCTGTGTTCTGTCTACTTGCCCACAGACAGTGCCGCTTCTGCGAAGTCAGTTCAAGACTTTTTGAGTCGGGAAGCTGCCGAAGCTTCAGCTGACGAAACGGAAAGTGAAGCGCAAGAAAACGACCTCTTCAACGGGATGGACCCTGAGGAAAGAAGTAAGCAAGCACCTGGGCCCTTGTCTTGTGTCAGTCTGACGCCATGCATAAACACATATCTAACTGAAAGCATAAGGGCTTTACAGTGTTCAACCAGACGCGCCGCACCCACAATGTGGTCTCTCTAAGCACTTCTTGGATGCATAGACCGTTTTCCACCACGTATTAATTAGCGTTGTTCCCATGCACACTTGTTGAAGAACCACTGTGCCTTTATTGGCTTGATTATTTGTTCACAAGCAGTAGAACGACATAGAGCAGTCATCGACCACAAACATTTCAGGGCACCCTCCGCTGCCGCTGAGGCGCGGAAATTTAACATCAAGAAATGAGGATGTTACGTGAGCAAGCATTCCATTTTGTTCTTGTGTGAACACTGGCGCAGCCCCTCCTAAGAAACGCACGCACAAGCACCGTAGACGACCACCGGCGGGAGAAGAAGTGGAAAGCCAAAGCAGCGAAACGGAGTCCGGCGACTCCCGCAGGGCATCCATTGATGGCGAGGGGATGTATGGCACTGAAGCCTTCGCCTCCAGCCTCACTGCGTTGCAGTCGGAGCTACAGGAGGCTCAGGCGATGCTGAATGTCTTGATGAAGAAGCAACACGTAACCAAACAGCGGCTTATCCATCCAGGCGGTGGGCCTCAACCAAAAGACCCCGGGAAACCCTGGTGCGGCTAACACGAGACGCAGCTCCTTATGCCCAATTCTTAGCCATTTGGGATTTTCCCCACTAAATAGGACCACGCTGTCGATTGGCGCCATTCAGTTGCCTCATGGTTGTGCATTGTTCTGTGTCCTCCCGCGCACATAGACTGCGCGAGATGAGATTTCTTTATTGATGCAATATACAGTGTTGCTATGAAGTGGGCACGATCACGAGAGTCTCGCATCTTAGTGGGTGGGCTTCTCAGGTGTTTGTACTGGACGCATATCGGTCATATCACTAAAACCGTGACGGCGGAAAACTCCGTGCTCGACATATTTAATTTTTCTCCTGCGGCCGTTTCGGAGGGATCAGCGCACAGAAAACTTGCAGATCTGCATAACTCCTCGGCCGCTGCTCTGTGTGAGTATATTGAACAGCCGACTTGAGGGCCTAGAGGATGGTCTCACTTAACCGGTTTTGCCCAGAGAGCCAGTGGAGTGCTGCTCAAGAGACAGTATCATCTGCTGTTTTTCTGCAGGTAGGGCTGGCGTGGTCTTGGCAGCGTCAGGGTCCTCTCGCAGCGTTATGGAGTTTCGGTGAGCTGCTCTCTGCCGTGGTTAAGAATAGTTCAAGCCACCGTCTCAAGTCTAAGGATATATTTACATCGTATCACCACATGTCGCTGACTGATTCACTTGGTAGCTTCGTTCTGGCGTTTCCCTTCTTCAGCTGCTTTGTGGATGCGGGATCGTGGGTAAAGCACTTCCCTGAGGGAGAGACGATTGTTGCGGTAGCCGCAGGAGATTCCTTCGTGGCTGCAGTGACCGAAGACAGGTAAGCCTTCACCAACTGCCAAGAATGTATATAATGCTCTAGGGCAGTCTAGTCTAGTGCCTTACATGGCAGCAAAAGCCCCTTTCCGGCAGTTTTGAAGAGCCCATAGCAGCGATAACGAATCACACGGGGAGCATTGAAGGAAGCCGACAGGTTTACTGCTCGCATATATTCCCTTTGCATTCGGCGGTTTTGCAGTTTTATCGCAGATGCGAACACATGTTGGTATATGTTGTTTCAGGACGCTGCGCATCTTCACCTTGGGGGGGGTCCTGTTGTACACGGCCGACGTGTTTGGCAGGCCTGTCTCGTTGTGTGGCTCGCAGCAACTGCTGATTGTTTTAACTCAGACTGGATACAGCGAGGGCTTTCTGCAGCTGCACTGCTCTGTCTTGCACGTGCATCCGATCCCTTCGTGCCCCAATGCCACTTTTCGCCTGCCCATTTCTTGCTTCAAACGGCGGCTAGCGGCTCCCCCTGCCGCTGCTGCATCGATTCCCGATGTGGACATAATCCACGAAGGTAACAGCAATTGAATTCTTCTTTCCACATGACACATACAAGCGCATGAACCTATCAAGCGGCGAATATGCCAAGGTGAATCGCTGGGAACATTCTGTGCTCCGTTTCATCTCTGTGCATGGACTCAGGCTTCTTTGATCTCGAATCGCCACTTGATTGGATCGGCGTTTCTCTAGGAGGAATGCCAGCAATAAAGGACGTTTCAGGCAAGTTACGTGCCACTTCCCTTCTAATTCTTTACGTGTCACTGGACTCAATCTTAGATTGCATTCATTGATGTGCTAGCCGAGGCGGGCATGCTGACCTAGATGATTACGCAGTGCTCGCAGAAGCTTACTTCGTAGAGTATAACCAGGCGACGTTTTGTTTCCTTACATGGCATCTGCTTGGCGCAGGAGTTGTGCGAGGGTTGCTACCGGTTGCCTCCTCCAACGTAGGGGGACTCGGTTATGCTTTTAAATGGGTGAAGCTGTGCTCACTTGAAGATGCGTCGACAAGCGCACCTCTATTTCCAGTAGTCATCGACGAAACGAAAGTCAGTGAAGGCACACAAAAGGAGTTGAGCATACAACTGTTGACTCAGTTCCCAGTCACTTATCTTTATTCAAGAAACGAGCTCACTGAGCCTTCTGGTTTCTTACTGTGGTATTTTTAGGGCGAGCTGGGTGTCATACGGATCAAGGCCGCTGAAGAAGGCCAATCCTACCCTGACTGCTCCGTTTCTGAAGCCTTTTTCGGCTATGCAATGGAGCAAATCCCACTCCGCATCCCCTCCCCCGACCTGTGGAGCTATTCACGGTGGCAGAGGCTTTTGCGGCAAGACAAACAGCTGAAGGGCGTTGGTGACGGGGGAGGGGATGCCGCTCTGGTGCCCTGGCCTCAGTATGACGAACTGCGGCTGCAACAAGAAATGGCCATTAGGCAGTTAAACCACTTTGTCAGCATTTGTGGGGGATCTGCGGTCGGTGGCGCCGAAGGAGATGCTGAGGCCAGGGAAGCTCAGAGAAAGCTGCAACTTCTCAGCAAGCGGCACGACAAATTTTGCTTGCGAGGGTTCGCCAAGTGCACAGACGACAAGCGGGTAAGAAGGCTAGTAGCTAAATTCATACATGAGGAATAGAAGCCAACCTCTTCCTGGCGGCTCACTGCTTCTGTGCGATCATTATTCTTAAAGAAGTGGAGTTCGTTTAGACTTACACGCCACTGATTAGCATAGCTGCCGCAAGATAAAATATCGAAAAGTCCCCAGCAATGCACACATATCTACAGAAGGAAGGGATCAGCTTTTTGCACTGTGAGGCTGCCTTGCGAATTCCGTCAGCACCTTTTTCCGCTTTGTTGTCTTTGCAGCTGCATGGCGTCGCCAAGGACATGGCGCTGAGACTTAAGACAGAAAATGCCCCCCAGCACGCTCGTTCACTTCTTGACTCTGATACACGTCTCCAGGCAGAGTAAGCCAATCGGGCCCGTATCTTTCCCTGTATAGTTTGAGGAGCAGCGTGCCGTATCGGTCGATCCCTAGCTCGTAGCTAGTAAATATTGAATCAGGGATAGCCAGTACGAATTTGCCTTGCCATGAGCGCCTATGTAGGTGGTGACCAATATATTACCATTATCATCAACACAGATTATGCGAGCTACCCTCGGGGCAGGGGCAGTACCTCAGAAGTGGATTAATCCTCAAATGATTATATGTTTTTTTCTTTCCCCCATTTTTTCCTGATCGTTTCGCAGTCAACTAAGGGAAGCGCTTCTGTGGCAGGAGCAGCAACGCCAACACTTCACTGCGCCAGCAGCAGCACCAGCGCCAGATACGAATGCTTTTCAAAAAGAAAACTCTCCACCGCTTGAACAGTCAGCTGAACAGGCGGAACGAAAGTTCCTGGGTGCTGGAGGGACCCCCCAAGCGTTGACAACTGAAAAAACGTCTACTGTTCAGCGGCTGCTTCAGGTATGTTTGCAGAACTAGTCACTCCACCAGGCCAGTCTACAGCACTCCTACAAGTCTTCATAGCCGGTAGGAGGGCCTGTGTTGTTTTCTGTACAAGGCCATACGTTGAGAGCGTTTTTCTGGGATGGGCTTGTGTGCTCGCAGTGGCAGCAGCAGCAACAGCAGCAGCAACGCAAAGGTGGCGATGGGGGTTTAGTCGCGCTTTTCGATGGCCAGAAACGCAGAGCGTCTGAATCAAATGTCGATAGGGCGAGCAAGAAGACCTATTTCCACAAGGCTGACTGAGGCGTAGTAGAGTTCTACTGCCTTTGATGCGCGCCCAGCGCAAGAGATCAGATGAGGAAACCAAAAGAGCCGAAAGGGCATACATTTAGGGGGCACCAGTTGCTGGCTCGAACCGTTGCATATTTTGACGGTTTGTGTGCCAGTGCCCAGCTGCCTTCCCTTCTGAGAAAACCAGTCAGTGAAGGGCATCGACGCTCCTATGTAGGCAACGCATTTGATCTGCGGGAAGTTCCTGCCCGACACTACTGGATTGGAATAAACGCTTGCCCATTGTTGACTAGGAGCACAAGTGCTCGCGAGCCTGTCTGTCAACGCGGGCAAGCATGTGCTCATATCCAAAGGGCAGCATTGCAAGTCCATTAGACACTTGTTTCAAATCAGAGCGAAGTTTGTGGTGGTTGTCTCAACGGCTTAGCGGAGTCGCATTTCACTCTTAGCTCCAATACCCCACTTCTTAGGCGATGCGCAGCGGCAGGGTGGTGAATCACCTACCAGGGAAACTAAAGTCTCTTTCTTCAATTCTGCCCTCAGTACTTATCCTTTCAGGTGTCAAAAAATATGTTCTGAGCTGTTTGTAACCGTTGGCTCCTCGTCTCTACCAACGCCAGCTAACATGTGCACGTCATTCTACCAATTATCTGACTTCGCGCCTCCCCAAAATTCCAAAATATTCCAACGCACTTACGCGATCTTGAGTTAAGCGAAAAGGATATGCTCAAGCACAGCTATGATTTCCAGGAACATACTGTTGTCCCAATCACAGCGAAATACTCGGCGAGAGCTACTGTATGTAAATTGATTGGCAGCTCTCATCTAGCGCCCGTGGAAGCGCAAAAGCTTGGCATTATCTCATTTGAAAATAATATCAAACAACTCGCTTTTAACTAGTATATCAAAACTAAAATTCCCCCGTCGAACTCCAGGTCGTATGTTGGGCAATCGCAGAGGAAGCGGACACCTTCACTGCTACTGAGTGCCACTGCAATGAAAGTAACAACGATAATAAAAGACGAGGATGAAGGGTTCAAAGCACCTCCAAAGAGTTAAAATCAAAGCCTTGATCGCCACCCACCCGCAAGGCAACACCCCCATCAGCTGCGAAAGACGCGCAGTTGTTCAGGTCATCGTCAATAAGCAGCACCTCTTCCTTTGAAACTCCAAACCGCTCTTGAAGCTGCACGCAATAATATAACCACAACAAACTGATGCTTGAATTAATCTCGACTTATACGCTACCGCTAGGCCCCTGAAACGAGGAATTGCCCATGCACACACAAGCGATGAATTCAAGTATTCAAGTGCAACCGTGGCAATTCCCAGTATTGCTCTGCGTGTGGTCCGCGGGTCCTTCAGAACCTATTGATTGCTTATTACTAATAAATAAGTCAAGCAGCCTGTATACTGATGGAGCATCGAGGGAACAGACCTTGCTGATGTGGTATGACTTGTCGTAAGGCATCGGTCCATCTAGACCTAGTGGAAGGTAGTCATCAGGCAGCTTGTATAGCCTGGAATCACAACAACAGACCGCACGAATAAAATCCCATATTATCATTTGTTCGCATGCAAAACAGTTCCCGTTACACAAGGCAACGACTCTCCTCTGAACTAAATGTAAGCAAAAAATCAGGGTAGGAACAGGTCTATGCATTACGCAGTCAGCTACTCAACCCTGGAACCAACACCCAAGTCCTGCACTGAATGCCCCCAGCTCACGAAGGATAGAAGGCGAACACTGCATCGACATCGAACGAGGCAGCGCTTTCTCCAAGCACCCGCCGTACAAGCTCTTCGCCTGCAATACGGCCTGAGCGCGAACCGATGGATTTTGGGTCTGCAGGAGCAGCAAAGCAGCATTCAGCAGTCCACTCATCATTCATTCTTTCGTGTGTTCAATAAGTGTGAGCTGCAGCTGGTCACAGGGAAGACACAGGTCTGACGCTGCGGTAAGTCCAAAATAAGTAGGACTCACCGCCAAAGGTCACCACGGCTATACGGATCCCTCGAGATGCCGCAGCCGCCGCAAATGCATTGAAGTCCGGCGCAAGAGATGTGAATATGGCATTGTCTGGCACGTCGGAAGCACTTCCTCCTGCAAGCCGCACATCACCGCGCACAGACCTTGCTTTGTCTACAGGGGCGGGCTAAAGCTATTCCTGAGACACTTGTAGTCTTTGCCTCTGTGTAAAACATTCCTATCGTTGTGACTCTGCATCGTTTCTTGCATGCGAGACTCGATGACGCGGTAGAAGAAGTTAAATATGTTAACAAGGGTCTGCGTGACTGGCTCTGCTTGCCTGAATGCGTGCTGATCATCGTCAAGTCGAAGTCAACAGCAAGGACACGCACGCCCCCCTTTTTCACAGCATCAGCAAGAGATGTGCAAGGGTCTTTTGAGTTTAAGGCTTCTTGGAGGAGTTTCTTAAGCTGGAGCCCTCGGTCGCTACCTGAACTTCCTTGTGCTGCCATGGCGCCTGATGCTATGAACGCAGCCGTGGCGAAGAGCGCAATCAGCCAGGTCAATTGTTTTCGGCTATTGTTGACGCCAGGGGTTCCCTTGCAGCTGCGATGAGGGAGCCAACCCCCCCGATGGCCGCTAGGCAAATCTCCTGACCCGGCAGCGGCTAGGCCCCTGTGGCTCTGCACTGCTAGCGATGGCTGGGGAGGAACAAAGTTGGGAGCCGACCAAGCTCTGATGTGAGCCCACTTCTGCATCGAAAAGATTCCACTGGATTCTTGCCCTTCAGGCATATTCGCGAGTCTTTGATCGAAGGGCTTAGTGCCCCACCTGATACTGCTATGCACAAGCAAACACGTCTCTAAAAGCACCCTTTACTGCTGGCACCGCTAGGAACGCCCTCCCAATATCACCATATTAATTGTTTAAAAATGTGTTCCGGAGTGTAGGAGACACATACAGCTCAGGTGTACAAACGCTGCCCAGGGGCCGTCCTGTTCCAGTAGTTCAAGAGCAAAGGCACTGAGGCCGTTTCTGCCTCACCGACAGGCAGAATAAACAAAAAAAAGGCATCGAAATGAGTGCACCTTCAGAGCTGTGTATTTTTCAGCCTCATTAAGAGGGGTAGCAGCAAACTCGCAAGCAATGCCTCGCTCGTCGACCAGGGGGAATGCGAGAAGAAGGGCCTCTCCGGCGCCGCCGCTGTGTACGGAACAGGCTGTCTCTCGACAGGAAGGATCAACTAATCACGATTTACACAGTTTTAATCAATTTAACAAAGATGAACTAAAAGCCAAACGCCCGGTAGACTTATCCGCTAACGCCAACATATTTCAATTGGGTCTTGTCTTTCCGCTTCGCTCCTCCGTCGAACAAAACATACGACGAGCTGTCGAGCCGTGTGTGACGTGCCATATTTCATTGGTTCGCCCTGCTTATGGTTTGCAGGGTGCCTGTTTAGTGCTGTCTATGGGGGTGTAGTGCACCCGTTCAAAATGTTTACATTGAACTGTCCGCCGGTACTCCCGTGCATTGTGGGGTGCTGGATGGATGGCATGCTCTGCCTGAAGCCGGCACATGTATTTGTGTGTGCCCTCCGGCTCGCTAGGTAGGCCCAAGACACGGTTAAATAGTTGTATAGGCAGTGATACTGCGTGTGTAACGCTGGTTCTCCGGCCTTAACCTGACCGGAGACGAGCCGCAATGAAGGCAAAGACTTAAAGTA